TGTGAACTGCACAGCTAGGCTACACACAGCAGGATCTGTAATAGCTTAGTATGTGTAACACACACTTGCATCATTCATTGCTGAATAACTAGTGGTGATAATTTACATTGTAGTTGTATGTTTTTTATTCCTATGTGCACATAACTTTCCATTACATGTTGCTCTCTCTGTAAGATCTTGAGGTGTTATTCTCATTGGCTGAGTTTTTGATATCCTGTATGTGAGGAGGAATAAAAAAATTGTTTGTTTTCTTACATATGTGCTAAATTGTAACTGCTCAGGGTGAAATTTGCCATTCTATGGCAAGATATTTTTTTCCCCTCCATGAAATCTCAGCTTTAAATAGATCTTGATTAGTTTTTTTAAAAAATTTCTTCTATAATATTGAAGCTTCTTATTGGAACAGGTTTTGTGATCTCATGGAGGCACATTGCAATTAGGTTTGAAAAATGCATCATGCAGCTTTAGGGAACGTGTTGTCTTTGTTCTTTGTGGGTGTTCTGCTCACATCTGACCAAGTCATATGGTATTTAGAAAGTTGTATTTTGCCCATGCTCACAATGTTATAAGAGCTTGACGTAGGTTTTCAGAAGGTACATAAGTTTACAATTCCCTGTTATTGAAGTTTGTATATATAATATTTGCCAACAAAATCGCTGCTTGGTTGAATGCCTGGTTTTCGTGGAAGCTTTCGAGGTGGTGATGTCCAGCTCTGTCCTTGTTCCTGCTCATTTGCTCTCTGTTCCTATTGTCTATCCCTATAGACAGCCAGGTCATTTTGGTCACTCTTTCAAGGCAGGCTCTGTATGTGAAGGCAAGTTCTTCATCTGTCTCAGTGTGTGCATACAAGGAAGCTGTCTGTCAATTCCACACTGCTCAGCGTGGTTTAAGATGAGACATGGAGTTAGGACAAGCCTGAAAATTAAATTTTGGCATTGTTTACTAAAGCAAGTAGTGCAGTACAGAAAGAAGTGTTTCTGTGGGATGAAGTGGTTGGCATTGAGGATCCAGCATGGGTGCTTTAATAATTTTGGGAAATACTTTGCCTAGGTTAGTCTGTGGGGTTAATGTTCCTTTGGAACCTTTGGAACAGATAGCTAGTTCAGTTTAATTTAAAGGAAATTAGGTTTGTGTGTCCAGACACCATTGCACAGCACTTGCAAAGCACATGAAGTGCAGATTACTGGGAGGCTTCAGGAGCCCCCTCTGATCTGAACTAAACCACTGTGGAGATGCACAAACTATCTCCCTGCTGGAGCTGGAAGTGCATCCAGTGGAATTGGGGAGCCCACAGAGTCTGTTTCTCATTCTACTTCCTGTAGTATTGGCAAGGGGTGAAACTTCTTTTCACATGGAAATGAGTACAAGTGGTAGAAATGAGTACTGTGGTCTGAAAGCCACAGGTAAGTTTGATTATTGTTGTAGGAATTCTGTGTTTTCTTTTAAAATGTGAGTAGTCAGGTATTCAAAGTGTTTAGCAAGGGAATATATAACCTGTGATAGCAGGTGCTCAAAAGTCAGAACAAGTGTCAGATGAAGATTACCCCTGTGACTCTTAACACTGCCCAGCAGTGCTCACAAACTCTTCCATATGACTTCCTTGATTTGGAAGGCAAATCAGTAGTAAACCAGAGGGTTTTTGTGAACTGGAGAAAAAATAGGGAAAAAAAAATAGATTGATGACTTTAAATTTTGCTTGTATTTTGAGATACTTTGGGCCTGATTTAGAGGCATGCTGGATAATCAGAACAGCAGCTGAATTTATATTTTCAAAACACATTTCTAGTTAAAGTTCTTTTAAAAGTACTGACTGAAATACTGGGCACTGAGTGTCTGAAATTGAGCAACCAAAGTTAGTGGGCATTTATTTTACCCTTTGGGCTTTCATAATTTTTGTGCCAGTCATTCACCTTTAGTATAGGAATACTGGTCTTATGAAATTATTGCAGAGTTTACATTTGTTGTATGTGGTCTTACCGTGTTATGGACAGAGCTGCATAACATGTAAAGTTCTTATATTCAATGTAGAATGCAGATGGTAGGCATTTAATGGGTCACAGGATGAGGGCAAAAACTGGGCAATTGTCCATTTGCTGAATGAATCAGAAATACTGCTGGGGAAAATAGAATAAAGCAGCAGAAGAATATAGTCAAAAGTAGTGTAGTATAAAGGCTAAACTCAAGTTGCATGGCTTTCAAACCTTAACTGCTGCATAGCTTGGTTTTACAGATATGTATTTAAGGCTTTGGGAGCTTTACAAGTTGAGCAGAACTCTTGGTGCCTTGTAATCTGCATTTTGATGCACTGAGACAAGGATAAGGATGTGATTGGTAAGAATAGAGAAGAAATGCAGGGTGGTGTGTGACTATTGTGGTGATGCCTTAGATTTCCAAGTATTGTATATGTTTGTGCCCCTTTTGGGAAGAGCACTTTAAAAATACCCACTGGCAGTTTTGGATTCATTTGTGAGGAAGGCTTTTGGAAAAGGCTTGTGCTGTTTGGGTCACTTAGTTTCATGTTCAAAAAACTGACGTAATAAATTCACATCCCTGGAAGTTGGCTTGTGGGGTAGATCTGAAGGTGTGTTATCCTGCATTTCATTACTGTTCTCAAAATATTCTTCTTGGGGAAGGTGCTTTGGTTTGTTTGGGTTTTTTTCTTATCAGGTTTTATTTGTTTTTTAATTAATGGGATACTGTTTTTCAGATACAGATTTGATCATTTGAGTAAATAGCTAAACAAATAGCAAGTGCCTAAGAAAGGCACCACCTTTTCACTCTCTCCTTGCTGAAGCCTTTCTCAGGTTTGCCTTTTGTGTTTTGTGTGAGGATTTTACTCATTCCTAAACCTGCAGGCTCATCCTGAATTGTGAGATTCAAGGTTTGTTGTTTTGTTATTGTCTGCTCCTACAGAGTTGGTGATCCAGGTCAGAACTGCCAAGCACTTCTACCCTTTTCACAGTAGTAGTAGGAGACAGATGATGACTTTGCTTTTTCCCTGGGTCTTGCTAGTTTGCTTTTAGTAGTAATCTGAAAAGAAAGGACACTGTGATACCAGTTGGTAAATTATCTATATTGCAGTCAAAGCACTAATGTCTGGGCATTCAGTAAAACCAGCAATGCAAGTGTGTCCATTTCAGGACAGGTATTCATGCTCATTTCTTCCCTCTGTCTCTTTACCTCAGCTTCACTACATATCTGTGAATGTGCAACCTTTTCTGTCTCCCTTCCCCTTCTAGTCTGTCGAGGATGTGAGTTCTTTGGGTCAGAAACATGCTTTGTGGGTTACATGGCATAATTTCTGTAACAAATATTTATACAAATGTTGGTACTGAAGTAATAATTTTTTTGTTTTCATTTTTGTTTCTTGCCCTCTTTTCTCAAACATTATCAGTTTGTTTCCCTTTCAGTAGTTCACTTGACTGTTTTGTATGAAACTTTTTCACTAAATGCATAGAATCATCTTGAGTAATAAACCTCGCTCTGTTTCATTTGCATCATTGCTTATAAAGGAGAGAAAACAGGTCAAGTTATGCCCTGGAAGAATATCTCCTCATTTATTTAGGATTTTTCAAATACTGTTAAAAGCATAATAGAAATGTGGTAGTAAGAGAATGGATGGAAGAGTGTACGTGACATTTTAAAGAACAGTTTAATTTAGGGAATTGTGCCTATTAAAAAGCACAGCCCTGCCTTTTGAGTCTTTCCCTGCTAGCACTTAATGCTCTGACTTGGTGTTACAGGTTTTGGAGTGTTTCAGTTGTTACAAGAAAGAGAGTTCTGTAGTTGTTTTAATTGCTGCTTTAAAAATGACCATGTTTGCATACTCTGACCCTTACCTATTATGGCCTGAAACTTGGTTGAAAAATCATTAAGGAATGGACAAGGTGAGTTGTGGTACTGCAAGTGTGCACTATGTTGCTGCAAATATCAATATTAGACTTGCTGTCAGGAGCATAAAAATAGTATTGTCATTGTACCCTGTGGTGTTAAGATTAAATATGTATTTCAGCTAAGTGCCATCAAACAGTCTAAACCAGTGTTGTGCAGGGTGTACAAGTTTCTGTTATTGAAGTGCTTAGAACCTGAAGCAATGGTTCCCAAGCTGTTGCTTGTGATGACTTGGGATGCCACTATTAGATATGGAAAATTGTTGGGCAGTTTTCTATGTGAGTAAAAAATAAAATCTATGAAGTGAGAAATGTTACTTTCTAAATAAAATAATTTGTCCAGCTTTTTGTAGCTTAAGCTACTTTTGGTAGTGGTTGCTGTATTTGAGGAATTTCTTTCTTTATTGTGCACTTACTGTTACATTTTTTTCAGGCCACAGTCAGAACAATTCTTTTTACTCACTGATTTAGTTTTATTCAATTCTGCTTTTGCTTTCAGTGCCCTAATGTCTTTAAATATTTAATATACAAGAAATTTTCTATCTTCAAGAATAAATGGCCTGAAGGGAGGAAGAATTTCTGAAACTATCCTACTTGAATGTACAAGAAGAAAATGCAGTGTGCAGCCAAGCTGTTTATCTGATTACATAGCACTGAAATGCACTTCACTGAGCCCTGCTTTTGCACAGGCTACTGAAGTGATCTGTCAGTGATTTTTGGAGCTGATACGTAGCTTTGAGTCCTACTCACTTAAAAAACCAAATAAAACTACAGCTCAGATTTTCACATTACTGGGAGAGTAGAGGTGATTTAATGGTTGATAGTGGTTTGGTATTCAGAAAATCTACAGCAAAAAATGTCATTTTCTTTTCTTGATTTAAGCACATATTGCTTCGTGTTCAATGCATCTTTTCCTCTGAGCTGCTTGGGGGAGCGCTGGTTTGTGCTTTGGCCTGGGAGGGACTCATGGGAGAAGCTCTTAGACATGCTGTGGTAAAAGCCATGGCAAAGCTACAGGTTCTGCAAGTTGCTGAAAATGTGTGGATATTGCTGTTAATTTTTAATACACACTTGGGTGAGTTCTTCTTTCTTTTCTTTTTTTTTATGCAGGTCAACTTTGTAGTGTGCCAACTGTTTGCCTTGCTTGCGGCTGTTTGGTTTCGAACATACCTTCATTCAAGCAAAACTAGCCCATTTATAAGACATGTTGTTGCAACACTCTTGGGCCTTTATCTTGCACTTTTTTGTTTTGGATGGTAAGTTACACTTAAATTCATTTTCATTTTTCCGGAACTTGTCAATTTTTATTTCTCTGTTACGAAGAACCATATTGCCTAATTCTGTGGGGTTTTTTAGCTGCTGCAAATGTACAGAAATCAGCTTAAATATTCTGATGAGGTCCACAAATTTTGAAAGGTCATCTGTAAACTGGCTGCCTGTGGTTTTGGGAAGATGAAGCAGGTGCAGTTTATTTAACTTCTGCAGCTTTTTTTTCTGTAAACTTGCTGGAGAAGTATTCTCTTGAGGCACAGCACAGATGTAGTGACTAGGATAATTCCCTATAAATACTCATGACAGGAGATAACTCAGGTCTTTTTCTGAATATTGAATATAATGTGGCATTTTAAGGAAGAGTTGCTGGAACTGTAAAGCATATCCAGTGACACTACTAGTAGTATAAAATGCCTGTTTCATGGTTTCTTTTTTTCCTTTCATGATTTGGAGAGAGGGAAGATGTGATTGTTTTTCAGACACATATTTTGTGTGACTGCTGGTTGCGTATCTTGATCTTTCACAGTGTAGCAAGACAGAATGTTAGTAAAGTTAGAAAAGGGTATTCATTTAGTTTGGTGAATTTTTTTTCTTCAAAATATAGCTTACTAAATGGCTTGCATCTTCCCAAGATGGTTTGAGTGCCAATTTCATTTTATTGCATTGTAAACAAGGTGCTTACTTGGCTTCAAGTGTATAAAAGACTTATTTATGCTGGCTATTATAGAGCATTAGTGAGCTAGGGGGGGTTAATCAAGCTGTTGTACAGGTGGGAATGTGCATGTGCATCTGTCTCTACACATGCAGAGTGTGTTGGTCTCTATGTAGGCATGTTGCAGAACTCTCCCAACATTAATTGATATATCTTATTTTTAAATTTTGAGAAAAGAGATCAGTAACCTTTATTCTTTAGATTTACATGCATGATTTACTTTTATATAAAACCTACTATGCCAGTCTATTTCTTAAACGTGTGGCCATGGTATGCTGCTCTGGGAGAATGATCTGATCTCAAAGACTTCCAGGCTTAACACTACAGAAAAAGAGGAGGATATGGGAGATAGGAGTTACTATGTGATGATTTTTTTGAGAGCTGTGTAAGCTTAGAAGCACATTGTTTCCATTGCTTAAGAAGCAGAAATCATTAATTGTAACTTGTAATTAGAAAGGGTTACTAATATATTCACATAGTAATTTTGGATATAGGAGATTTTGGAAAGAAACAACCTCTACTCCCAACAGACATAAAAAAAAAATTTGTGGAAGATTCTCACCAGCAATATACGCTGGAGAAAAAAAATGTGTTCTTTTTAAGAAGTTAATTTCTATTTTGCAGTTACTGAGCTAAAAACTGTTTAAAAATTATGAAAATAACATAATTTGAGATGTTGAAAGGACGCATTCTTTAAAGATTGGTACTTCTGCCAATGCTTTGTCCTTTTGGTTAAGTACATGTTATACGAGCAGGTTTTCGAGGGTTTTGGGTTTTTTTGGTTCTCCCTTGCCAAGAAATCAAGGATGCATACAGGTTACAAGCCCCTGATAACATCTTCAGTGACTCTTGGTTTGTGCTGCTATAACATGACTTATGAACATATATAACAAGAAGGAAACTGTTACTGTTTTGTTATATAGTGTTACTAGTAAATGTAGTAACTTGTAGATCATGCAAATTTAAATGTGGGAAGTAGTTTGTAATCTGCACTCTTTTAAGGACATTAAGTAGTAGTTATGTTATCTTCAAGTGTGTTAGTTTTCAGTCACTTTTGTAATACTTGTGAGGGTGGTAGGGGAAAGGAAGAGAAGCAATAATTCCCTTTGCATAATAGCAAATAGCATAAAAGGCCCAGAATATGTACCCTTTGTATGTAGCTAAAAATCACTATTCTCTGTGGTATCTCAATACATCCCTTTGAATGATTGAATCAAAGAACATATTGCTGTTGTTAGCAGCTCTGAAAGACAAATGTTTTCAGTGACTGTAATCCTGGTATGGTACTCTTTTAGGCTTTGATATCTTAGTCTCCTTTCTCTGTGAAAGAACAACCCTCTTAAGTTTTTGTCATTTCACTAATGCCTGTCTTTGCTGTACAATATTGCTAATGCTTGGCAGATAAGAAAAGGAAGTAAATACTTTTTAAATTGTCAATTACTATATTAAACTTGAATTTTAGGTAGTCCTATCCTAAATGAGACTAACTAGAAGTGAAACATGGGAGCATGTACAGACTGGCTCTTGTGTAAAAAGTCAAGATTTTTCAAGGTTAATTCATGTCAAAATGAATAACCTTGAATCCAAGTTTTGGCTCAGTTCCTCCTGTATAGGATGAAGGATTTTAGTTGGATAGAACTGGTTTTCTTGTTTGAAGTCATTTCCTTGTTAGTAGAGGAGGAGTGAAATTAGAAAATTGTTGGTGATAAGCCGAAAGAAAATAGCACCACTGTAGCAAAATGATTGCTGCTTTTTAGGCTGCTTTTCGTGAGGAAAAAAAAATCCCAAATTAGATGAGTTGTGTCACTTGAGCGTATGTGTGTGTGGTACTGGGGCACTTAAGGTACCAGAATGAAAAAAAAAACCCAAGTTACTGAAGATCAGCTCTTTTCCCATTCACTGGCACTGCTTTGATGGCAGTGCTCTTCAGCTTACTGAAGTATGACTCCTTCAAAGGCCAAAGCCAACTCCCAAAGCAGTGCTGTTGGATAGCTGTGGTGGTGAGCTGTGGAAAACAAGCAGGAGGAGCTTAGAGCATCTTTGTGAAATAAATCTATGGCTTGTTGGTGTGTAGGGGTTTTTTGTGACCATCACCACCATCCCTTTAAAAGTTACTGACAGCCTGGGACAAAGAGACTGGCTGGACACAGTCACCATTGCTGTTGAGTGGGAAATCTTACAATATTGTGGATACTAAGAAATTGTTTGCCTTATCTGGAATATCTATTGCTGTAAATGGGTAGAAAGATGAATATGGAAATGAAACCACCAAACTTTCACATTGTTTACAGTTATTTAGTCATGAAGTAATGCCAGATGGAAGACATAAGACATTCTTTGTGTTTTAATAATTATCAATATTTTCAATATTCTTGATTGAGCTGGAACATTGTAGCTAGGTGTCTAGGTGTTGTTCATTACTGCTGTCTGTGCTGTGCTAAAGGGAGAAGTTTTCAGCAGAAGAAAGGGTAACAGAAAACCTAAATAGAATAAAAGGGGATTTTTCTTTGGGAGCAGTGGTGGCTTTAAACTTTGAACCTCTTTAATGTCACAATAAATGTATGCAGTTGATTGTCATTAAAGAAAATGCTATGAGGGTTTACTTTTTTTCTCCCTAGGTATGCCTTACATTTTGTTATACAAAGTGGAATTTCCTACTATATCATGATCATAACAGGAGTGGAAAATATGCACAAGTAAGTTTCCATTCTAAAATTTAATTTACTTTGCCTTTACAAGAATGCTACTGTTGAGGATTTTTTTTGTGATCCTGCATATATACCATAATTTTAGTTGTATCATAACATTTCAGTATTTGAATTCTCTAACCCTGGTTTTATTTTCAGGTGAGAAGATTACTTACTTGGGAATTGTTGCCAGTCTTTTAAAATATCTAAAGCTCATTAAAATAATACTCCACAGAGACATATTTTGTGTTTACATGTTCTTCTTTTTTCATCATTGCTTAATCTTAAGTATTTCTTGGTGTTGACAGATGACAAATGTAATTTGAAAACAGTCAATTCTAGTAGATGGAAGATGTCTGAACAGAAAACAATTTGTGTGAGAAATTTCCTTAGGAACAAAGTGCTTATAATTCCTTTTTTTTTTTTTTTTAATATCAGTATGAATGATGTCTTAGGTTAAGAATACATTTTAAAAACAAATACAGAATTATTTGAAGTTTGAATGACTGATTATATCTTGCTTGAGTATCTGAATCCATATAGAAAAACACTTGTTTCTCTTTTTCAGTCACACTCAAAAGCAGGGAAGACATACATTACTGCATTCATATGTTTTACTATTCCAGTAGCTAAGAGATCAGAAACAAATTAAGTTCCCACTGTGTGAATTCCTGCATAAATGTTTAGTAAAATAGCAAATCCTTGCTTGAATAGGTTCCTGAAGTATGTGAGACTGTGAGAAAAATGCTGGTAGAAAGAACAAAGAGGAAAATTGCTTTACACAGAAATCACAAAGCCAGGGCAGCCTTAGTTTATGATCCTGTCTGTTAGAGTACTCTGCTGAATTGTAGTGAGATAGTGAGTGTAGTTTTATTGTCTTTTGAAATATCCCAAATTAGGCTCTTATGTTCAGGATTTTCTTCAAGGCCTCATATATTCAAAGTACTGTGGATGTGAGAGAACCTCATTTGGTTGGATAGCTGGTTTATAGACAAACAGTTTCTTTGATTACTGGTTGTTGTAAAGTAACTTGTTCATGTAAATTTCTCTTTAGACATTCAACAATGTAAGCTAGAACTTATGGTACTTAATATTCTAAAAGAAATTATTTTTGTGGTTAAATGCAGCAAAGGGAGGTGCCAGTCAGGAGCACTTTGGCCTTTACCATAACAAGGTATGTAGGTTTCTCAAAAATGGAAATCCAGCAGTGGTTTACATTCCTAATAGCATGAGACAGGTAGGCAAATTTCCTGCTCTGTGGCAAGGGAACAGTAATTCCTGATCCTCCTAATTCATACCAGCTGTTTTCACTGCATGGCCTGATCTGCTGAGATGTTGGCTGTGTTATACACAGCTGTCACTGTGAAGCTGGGAGGGGAACCTAGATTCAATTACAGAGCTTATATTGCTTTGTCACCGTATGAATTAGTCTGCCATTGGATAAAACTAAAAAAGCTCCTCTTTCAGTGGAAGAAAAAAAAAAGTAAGAGTCACTTGTTACTTTGTGGACAATGTGTGGATGCTGTATGGCAAGCTGCAGGAACCACTTCTAGTAGGTGATACAGGCAAGACTACACAAGGTTTGCTCCTTCCACTGCTGGAGTATCCCAGAAGTGATGATGCCTAAGGAATGCACCAGGTACACTTAATTTTCTGTCAGGAAAATGCCACTTACAGCTTAGTGTTTGGCAGTCTGAATAGAAACCAATGTGAATTACTCCCCTCCTCACCTAAGTGTTTGTCTTCAGGCTATGAATGTCTCATGGTGCCCAGGGAAGACTGACGGTTAAGTACTGTGCAACAGAGTGCAGCTGGTACCAACTGGCCTCAGGACTGGAGAATGTCAGTGTTTTAGTGGGGATGTGTGTACAACTAGTTAAAGTGCTTGTATATACCTGCATTGCCCCAGGTTTGGGATTTACTTTTTATATGGTAGAGGGACCCATTGCCTGGCAGTCCTATCTAGATGTTACCTGCTTTGTTCAATGAGCATCTTAACCTTGGAGGTGAACAGCAAATACCTTATGTGGTGTAAATACAGATTCAAGTAGATTTTGTGTTGGAAAAGCACTTATGTATTGTAGAAATCATATTTGTCTATTATGTAAATTGATTCACTCACCTAAGTTTCCTTCTTTTCCCTGCCCTACTGGCTGTCCTGCAGATTTCATGAATGTATGGATAGGAAAAACATTTTTGCTGTCCTTGTTGTTTTCCTTACCTTCTAACATAGCTCCTCAGGTTCTCCAGCCTCTCTAAAAATTGCTTAAACAAGTAAGAAACAACTAAATTTTTAAAAATGCTATCACTTCAGTTGCTGTGCACTGCTTATACAGGCTTCCTTACCCTCTGAAGCCAGGAGAGTTTTTTGATAAATTTTTACATTCACCAAAGCACTTTAACCTTTCATGGTAGCTGTTATGTCCTATTCTGTTTGTTTTGATGGACACTGTGGTGTTGATAAACAATAGGAGATGTGGCAAAGGAGGTGTGGTGAAGATTTGATTGTTTTATCTTAAAAATCTCAGATTGGAGCCAAACAAGTCTTGATCATCTGAATAAACTAATTCCCTTGGCATGCTAATTGTGGCACTTAATTTCTTAGTCAGGTATTTAATGATGCTGAATGTTGTGATTTTTCTGATACTTACCTCGAAATCAGACTTGTACTCTGAAGACTCTGGATGGAAACACTGACTAGCACCGGGCAGTGATTTTCTGTATGTTGGAAATTTTATGATAACAAAAATAACCTTGTAAATGGATTGTAAATTGTGTATCTTCAATTGCTCAGAAAAATCAGCACTTGTTGAAGTTAACAGCTGTGAAGGAATTTCTTAGTAATCGTTGTGAATTTCTTCTAAAAGTATTTGCTCCAAGTAGCTATTGCAAGTTCATCCATGTGGTAACTTCCTGTAACACTCCAGGCTGAGCCTGTATAGAGCTCAATGCATGGCTTCAAACAATGAATGTATAAGTTGAAAAATAACTTGATATATTATCCTTCCTAAAATTGGAATGTTTAAATGGAAAGGCCTTTAATAAGCATGTATTTTGTAATGACAGGAAAGGAGTGAAAAGAACTACAATTTGCTTACCTGTAGTTCCTATCATTTTTTCTATACTTTTAAATAAATATTAAATACACTTATTTAGGGAGGTGTGTTTGTGTGCCTATAGAGGTATAGGGAGAAAGGATAGGAATCATCTAGTATCTGCAGATTTGTAAATGTTGGTACTTAAGTAGAGAGGCTGAAAAAGATAATGCATGGGCATATTTAGTATTATAGCCTTCTCAGTTAGTTTGGTACAAAAAAGGTATATGCTGCCTTAATGCCACTAGGGAAAAATCTGATTATATGTTTTGCGTTTCCAGAGAGGATGGTAAATCAGTCTTTTTCTTAAATCCCCACCTCCTTTTAAAAATTTTATTTCATTTTATGCTTGATTGCTGATGTTACTCAAAAGAACAGAGTTCTCAAAAGAACAGGGTTTTTAAATAGTGCCATTGACATGTAAAACCTCTTATCCCTCTTGCAAACTCAGGTAAAAAAAATAAACCTTGTACTTCTGTTGTAGGAAGTAGCTGTGCTTCATTGAGTATTGATGTTTACCTGAAGGAGGGCTCCCTTACACTGTGTGCTTCTGTAAGCATGTGGAGGACAGCCCTGTCTTGGAAGGAAGCTGTAGTGTAAAATTGCCTGGTGTGTTACAAATCTGTTGGGATGGAGCAGCTTTTTGGCTTGCATATAGATTTTTTTTTTTTTAATCTTTGTGCTCAAAGTGAAGCTGAGCACAATCAGTCAATCAAAGCAGAGTTGATAAAGTTGTGTTTTGGGGCTCTGTATTTGTTCGGTAATCTCTGTGGCATCTATACAGAGTTCTTCAAGGCACATTACTCTGCCTGTCATGCTGCCAAGCAACTTGACTGTTAGCAAATGAGCTCTGAGTCATGGTATCATTGCTGCATGGTTTATTACCTCAACAAACTATTGATGTCAAATAAATCAGGCTCCCTACAAAATGAAGTGGCAGAATAAATTGTACCTAGAAGAGTTCAGTAAAAGCCATGTTCTTCTTCAGCTCCTGGCAAAGACAGCCACTAATAAGAGTCGATTAAAGATTCTGGTTGCGTGGCATTGACTGAATGGAGACAGTGGTGTTTGGGATAAAGAGATTATGTGCAAGGGTGCCATATATTACAGTACATTTTCTTCTCTAGGAGCCTAATTATCCATGGCTTTTTATTCTTTGGTGAAATTTCTTGCATTTGAGACAGATTTCACATGACTAATTACAACAAGCTCAGCAAACAATAATTTTCATTTTTCTTAATGAAACTGGTGGCTGTAAGTTTGGCAAGTCAGTTTTGCCTGCAGAACTGCAGGTGATGGTGTATGAAGTGTCTGAGTTGGAGCTAGAAGATCATGACCTTTGATACCAATGCACTGCAAACTGTAAAAATTCTGTTTGTGTGTTTTTTCTCTTCCTGTAAAGGAGGGTGGATGTAAATAGAAAGCATTGATATTTAAGAAATACAAACATCTTAATTTTAAAATCCAGTGCCTCAATTAAAGATATTAAGTTTCATATAGCTTTTAAAGCTGATCAGTTTTGCAGATCAAATGTCTTTAGTGGAAGTTAAAGATAGGATCACAGAATCATAGAATAGCTGGGGAGGGAGGTGTTTCTGACTCCCACCCTGACTGCTCAAAGCAGGATCAGCTAGAGCAGGTTGCTCTGTGAAATCCAAGTCTTCCTTAGTACTGACATGATCCTGAATAGTTCCAGTTGTCACAAGCATGCTAGCCATTTCCTTTTGGTGTCTTGCTTCAATGTTGATTAGAGTTTAAAATTTATTTGAGGTGACTTCATGCAGCTTAGTTTTCCCATCTATTCTGAACTTGCACAAGAACTTTTTATGCTTTAATTTTCCCTCACCCAATAATTGTCCGGATTTGGTATTGTTAACTTAAATTGATCAGGCTCATTTCAACTTAAGGTCAAAT